AAAAAAAAAAAAAAAAAAAAAAATTTAGTGGGGGCTATTTCATTGTATCTGGGATGTATCTCACTTATTCCTTTGTAATTACTTTAAAATTTTATTCCTTTTGTGCCAGATTATACTCTGAGTGACACTGATCCTCTGGAATTTGAATCAGTGCCATGGTCAGTTTTTGTGAAATTACCTTGTTTGCATCTTCTGCCTTTTAGATATAATGTTATTTCTATATCTCTTAGTTTAAGTTTGTTAACCATGTTATTCAAGTATTCTGTATTTTGGCTCGTTTCTGCCTGATTTATCAGAGGTGTTAAAATTCTGTTCACAGTGGTTGACTTGTCTGTCTCACCAAAGGTCAGTTTCAAGTATGTTAATGAATATATTAATATAGTTAATTATTTATAATTTGCTGAGAATATAATTTCCCCTTGGTCCTTTATAACATTTTGTACTTATGTTCTACTTTTTCTAATATTAAAATTGCTATCTTGCATTTACTTTGTGTCATATCCCCTTAACCTATCTTTTTCCACATTTTAATTTTCAGTTACATAAATGCTCACACCTGTTGGGAAGGAGAGTAGAAATAGAAAATAATCCCCACTACGAGGTCTACCCCTTTTTCTAAGAAAATCCTCGCCCTCTATCTTTGCTTACACTCACATACATAGAAGGTGAAGGCAAAGGATGTTGTTCCCTCCCCCAGAAGTCCTCAATAATTGCATTTGCACCTTTCTAGGTGTGTGGATATGGTTGCCCGCAATTCTCACCCAAACTCTGACCTCGATTTGTGCTACAAGTGTGGACACACAGGGTCATCCCCTCACAATCACAGACCTGTACAGCCAGTGCTACCATCCACAAAGGCCACATGTTGGACGTTCAGACAGGGCAACAAGATAACAGAAGAATGCTCTACACTCCTCGAAAAGTGACCTCAGCAAGAACATTTTTATGGAATCGGTGGAAGAGAGAAAAAGAAATAAAACAAGATGATATTGAGGTGCTGGCACAGTCACTAAGGGAATAGTGGAGTCCCTAGGGAGGTGGGATGGAGTAAAAGAGGCCTTTTGCTTTTATAATGAACAGAGAGAGTGTGTTTGCATGATCTTGGAAATTATTCAATGGAGATGGGCAAACTGACAATGCAGGAGAAAGGCATGGATTCCAGTTCCCTGAAGCAACTGTATTTGATAGGAGAAAAGAAATACGAAGGCCTACTTTCTGGAGAGAAAGTGAAAGGCAGGGGATGGATGTGATGAGCCTGCGGTTTGGTGATGGGTGTTTTGGTTCCCTCTGGGAGGCTTAACTAGAGGGATCTGAGAAGTTATCTGATAGCGGGGAGACATGCCCTCTTGGAGACTGCTTAGGAGTGTGAAGTGCTCTTTCTGCGTATGTGTCAAGGATTCCAACGGAAGCCCATCAGGCCTCGGAGGAGAATGGTCGGGCTCATCCAGCTGGGTTTCCTCAGGTGAGCGCAATGCAGAGCAAGCTGAAGGTACACTCGTCCACGTGCACTGCAGAGTGCGAGTCCGAAGCGGACCCGCAGGCGGCGAGCAGAGGTGCAGAGTAGGTGGGTCTCGCGCGCTTTTTTTCTCGGTGTCGGAATGGTGTGCTGTCGCGGAGAGCTTCCGCGGTTTCATATCCTTCTTATTGCTAGAAATGCAAGTTAAATACGACTTCTAGAAATGAATGTAGCAAAAGGGAGCATTATTAGAAAGGCTGAAACCGAGAAAAAACGATAGACACAAAAGAAAATGATAAGGAGCAGTTCGATTTGGAGGACGCGAGATATTTTAGCAAGGCTACCTTTCCAGAGTCGAGGAAGGGGGAAATTTCAGATGCAGGAAGGCCAGCATGGTGCGCACAAGTGAAATCATACCAAATACAGAACCGGACGCGCCAGGGGTGACCCACCACCAGCTGAGAAGCGCCGGAACCACTGGGGCCGTGCGGGCTCAGTGAGCGCAGGTGCAACTGGAGTCGCGCGGCGCTGGAGGCGGGGTCAGGAGCGGGGCGGTGCCAGGACCAGCTCCCGGCACGCCACGCGCCA